TTCTGGTTCTTCACATGCTTCAAGTGTACTTTCAAATCCACAGCATGATTCTTCTTCTCAGAACATTGTGGAGCCTCCAAATGCTTCCATCACTCTTTCTTCTTGTTTTTCTGATACTCAGGTATTGCTGTCAACAGTTACTCTTCTTATTAGTGATGCTCATGGCCGTTATCATTCGTGTAAGGCTATTTTAGACTCTGGTTCACAATCAAACTTTATTTCTGATGAACTGTGCAATAAGTTGGGTATAAAAAGGGAACATGTAAATATTGCTGTTTCTATTCAAGCAACTCATTCTAATTTCAATATCTCAATCTCTTGTTTGGTAGTAGAAGAAATATGTAACTTAATTTCAAGTTTTCCTTTAGATACCAACTTATTCAATATACCTCAAAATGTACGTCTAGCAGATCCAAATTTCTTTAAAGCTTCTAAGATTGATCTCTTAATTGGTTCTGCTGTGTTTTGGGATCTTCTCCTAGTTGGCCAAATTCGTTTAGGGCAAAATATGTCAGTTCTTCAAAAAACTAAATTTGGCTGGATTATTTCAGGTCCATTGCCAATTTCTCATACAAATAATATTAATTGTAATTTTTCTCAAAATGTGGAGTCACAGGAACTTTCTCGATTTTGGGAAATAGAGGAGTGTTCTACTTTAAGGCCTATATTGTCAGAGAAAGAACAGCTGTGTGAACAGCACTTCATCTCAACATTCAAAAGAAGTTCCAATGGCAGATTCATAGTTTCAATTCCTCTTAAAGAATCTCCGAACAAATTAGGTGACTCCAGTCAATCTGCTACTAAACGGTTTTATAGCATAGAAAGAAAGTTTGAAAACAATTCCTCTCTTAAATCAGCTTATACAAATTTCATTCAAGAGTATATAGATTTAGGGCACATGTCAAAATCTCCTTTAATTTCTTCTTCAAGTATATCTTACTTTCTTCCACACCATGCAGTTCTAAAGGAAGATAGTTTGACTACTAAGCTTCGTGTCGTCTTTGACGGGTCTTCCACTTCTTCTACTGGATTATCATTAAACGATATTCAAATGGTTGGCCCTAATGTACAAAGCGACTTATTTTCAATACTTCTTCGCTTCAGGCAGCATTCATTTGTAGTTTCTGCGGACATAGTCAAAATGTACCGACAAGTTCCCATTGCTCCTGAACAGCGAAACCTTCAACAGATCTTATGGCGATTCGATCAATCAGAAGATTTATGTAAATATCAGCTAAATACAATTACATATGGTACTGCAGCTGCTTCATTTCTTTCTACTAGATGTCTTCTACAACTTTCAATAGAATCTGCCACAGAGTTTCCTGAAGCATCGAAGATAATATCTTCAGATTTCTATGTACATGATCTTCTAACAGGATCTGATTCTTCTTCAGATCTTTCACGTTTATGCTCCAAAATTACTACCATTCTTGATCGTGGTTGTTTTCCACTTCGTAAATGGGTTTCTAATAATCGTAACATCATCGATAGTATTAATTCTTCTTCTATCTCTTCTACTGATTCTAACTTTCTCGCATTGGAGAGATAACGAAAACGTTAGGTATTCTATGGTGTTATGAGTCAGATACCCTCATGTATCATATAAATGAACCCACATCTAATTTGGTAACTAAACGTTCAATTTTTTTCTTTAATTGCACAAATCTACGATCCTTTGGGTCTTCTTGCACCTTGTGTAATAAAGGTAAAAATATTAATTCAAAAATTGTGGTTGGAGCAGTTGGATTGGGATCAGTCAGTACCAATTAGCATTTATACTGAATGGTCATCATTCAGATGCCAACTTTCTTTTCTAAATGAACTTAAGATAGTCCACAATTTCAAATGCAGAGAAGCTATTAGGCTTGAGTTGCACGGATTTTCTGATTCTTCAGAACAAGCTTATGGAGCTTGTATATATGTTCGTAGTGTTAATTCTTCTGGAGTTGTTTGTGTCAATCTTCTTTGTGTAAAAAGCAAAGTTGCACCTCTTAAGAAAATAAGTCTTCCTCGACTAGAACTTTGTGGAGCTCTTATTCTTTCTAGGTTAGCCGCCAAGGTTATTGATTCATTAACTATTAAATTTCATTATATGTTTTTCTGGTCAGATTCTACTATAGTTCTTGGATGGATCAATACACCACCAAACGTTCTTAAAACATTTGTTGCAAACAGAGTGTCAGAAATTGTCTCCAATACCAATTCCAGCAAGTGGTTTCATGTTGGTACAAAGCAAAATCCTGCAGACCTATTCACTAGAGGCCTTGAACCTTCACTTCTACATTCTTCTAGCTTGTGGTGGGAAGGTCCCAGTTTTCTTTCTGTCGTTCCCTTTGACACACCAATTCAACCTGTTTAATGTAATAAAGATCTACCTGAGTTAAAGATAGAATCCATATCAATGAAAATATCACCTACTATAGAATTACTTTCTTTTGAGCGTTTTTCCAATTTCAGCCGCTTGCAGCGTAGTTTAGCATATTGCTTAAGATTCATTCATAATATAAAATGCTCGAATCATTCACTTACAGTTTGGTCCTCTCTCGTTTGAAGAATTGCAAAATTCCGAAAGATATGTAGTTAAAGTAGTTCAAAATCAAGCCTTTAAGCTTGAAATTCAAACATTGTCATCAAAGGGAATTCCCCATACTAAGTCTAACATAATTTCTTTACATCCTTTCATCGATAATGATGGTCTTCTTCGTGTAGGAGGTAGACTTAGAAATTCATTGTTTAGTCAGGATAAACGACATCCTGCCCTACTTCCCTCCAGTCATCATGTTACCAAACTTCTCTTTAAGGACATTCACATTCGATCATTACATTGTGGTCCTCAGCAATTGTTATACCTCATGCGGGAAAAATTTTGGCCAATTCATGGTAAAAACACTGCTAAGGCTGTTGTTCGTAACTGTGTAACTTGTTTCAAAGCCCATCCTTCTTCTATTAATCCAATAATGGGTGATCTTCCTGCAGCCCGTGTACAGCCTTCATTTCCTTTCGCTATTACTGAGGTCGACTATGCCGGTCCTTTTCTTCTTAAGGACAGGGGAGGACGTGGCTGCAAGATTTATAAGGGATATGTATGCTTATTTGTATGCCTCAGCACAAAGGAACTTGTATCAGATCTTTCAACTTAAACTTTTTTGTCAGCCTTAAAACGTTTAATTTCTCGCAGGGGCAAACCCACTCAGCTGATGTCAGATAATGGATAAAATTTTGCTGGTGCATTCAATGAACTCAATGCATTAGGTGAATTTTTAAAATTAAATAAAGATAAAATTAATGATGAATGCAATCATAACCAAATTTCTTGGAAATTTATTCCATGTTATACTCCTCACTTCGGTGGTATTTGGGAGTCAAATCAATGAAATCACATATGAAAAAAATTTTCTCCAATTCTTTACCGACTTATGAACATTTTCAAACAATTCTTGTTCAAATAGAAGGAATACTAAATTCTATACCTCTTTCTCCTCTTTCCAATGATCCTTCCAATTTAAATCCGCTAACACCTTCTCACTTCTTAATTGGCAGACCAATCAACTCAATTCCTGAAGTCGACTTATCCAATGAAAAGGAAACTCGTCTACAGTTACACGAAAGGCTCCAGTTCCTTCAGCAACATTTCTGGAAACGGTGGTCTTTAGAATATATTTCAGAACTTCAGCAGAGGCAGAAGTGGAAGGTGTATCGTTCAAATATCAAGATAAATACCTTAGTTCTGATCAAAGACAGGCAGCTACCACCCAAGAAATGGCTTCTTGGTCGAGTTCGAGATCTTCACCCTGGAAATGATGGCGTTACTAGGGTTGTGTCAGTGCAGACTTCCAATGGTGTTCTTCGGAGGGCAGTGTCAAATATATGTCCTCTTCCGGTTGAAACATTGAAAATACATTTTAAGTGAACTCTATTTTAGCTTATGTATATATTTCACCTTATGTATGTATTTCTTTTTTGTTATAATGTAAATTGTTTTAAAAGTTACCCCTTTCAAGGTGGGGGCATGTTTGGACTTCAAATTACACGCCAACTAGTGCAAAATTGGCATATTGTAAATGTCAGAATAAATTGTTCCTTTCAAGTTGACAAACACGTTTTTCATTCTGTCAAAGTTTTTAATTAATTTATTCAAGTTTATTTCAACAAGAAGTTCATAACCAGCGCAAATATACAGTCCAACCTTTATGGTTTCTTCTAATCCCTTCAACTGGTAACTTTAATAGCATATCTGTAAAATGGACAAAGTGAACAGTAAAATGAGCAAAGTGAAAAATGAACATAGATGTAGGCTGTACACAAAAGATCTTTTATGCAGTATGCATAGGCATACATATATAGGTATAAATCTGAAGTCTAAAATCTACAACGGTTTTTCAATGGACTAGAAATGGATCGATTTTCAAAAAAAAATTCAAAACGATCAAGTACGCCATCGACTAATAAACTGGAATAATAGTTTTTGACGATAAATACTCTTTTCTCAACATATAATACCATTTTAATCAAGGATATACTTTATTGTTCTGTACTGAACAACAAAATTCAGCCGAATGAATCCCGACTCTCAGTTGAGTTTAACTCAACTGGTGAGTTCGATGGGGCCTTGTTCCCGTCTCTGCTAACGAAGTAATATATCGGTTTGAAAAAGATCTCACTGTCTGTTTCATTCCAAAGTAACTCATTCAATACCATGTTAAACATTATATGCCCACTTCTTCGCGTTTGCATGTTGTATAGCAGTAAAAATGAGTAATAATTTTGCAAAACCAGAACAGTAGCAAACTATATTTTTAAGTAAGTGATTGTAATATAAGTGTAACAAGAAAGCAAACTGAAAAATTAATAAAATGATATCAGTAGAAATCATATTTAAATTTAATCAAAATTGTAATAAAATCTTGCGAGTATTTTCTCCTAAACATAGTTTATATACAGATTAGTTAAACATGTATTTTATTTAATCATAAAGAGAAAATAAAATTATTACATACCATCCATTGAATAAGAATCGTGGGGATACCCACTCAAGAAAGTCATTGGATCGGTTCCATTGGACCAAGTTCCATCTCCTACACCATAAGCTTGATACGGATAGGTCCCTCCACTTCCATAGTAGCCTTTTAGAAGGTAAAATAATTTAATATAAAACATAATAAATCATTTTAATACACTGCTCGACAATTGAAGTGGATATTTTTATTCCTCATAATTTTAAGTCTTAAAAAATATTCCGATTTTATTCTAATGGACACGACCCTCAGCCAATGATTTTTGCATGCTACTTTTTCTTTCCCGTTTTTTTTTACATATCAGTAAATAAAAATCTGGTTTAAAATATATTATAGTGTTACGATAATTATGGCGTTTATAACTATCAATATATTATGACTAATTCTGTTTTCTGTTCCAGTAAATTCGAAGTTGTTTACAGAAACCTCTAGACCCTAATTTTATGAGTAATCCACGTCTCGAGGCTTTTCAAACAGTTGAAAAACGAGTCGAGCGCCTTCACCAAAATACGAGATTATTCCATTATAATGTAGAAGGCCGCCGAATTTTCTAGATGACAACAGTTGTGTATATAAATGAAAGATTTTTTATTTGGCAGTCAGTCATAAGAAGATCGGGAAACGCGGTTTACTTGTAACGAAACGTAATAAATAAATTTGTATTTAATAAGCTATTTAATAAATTAGTAATTAGTTATCGTGAGTTTTAATAAATTAGAATATAGACAATAAATTAGAATAAAGACAAATAAATCAGAACTATATAAATATATAACAATAGTATAATTTTTAGCCAATACCCTAGGGCCAGTGGAGTTGTTCACGTCCATGGACGTATAAATAAAGATGGACTAGGCATGTCCTGCACTCTGTTTACCTAAATTTAAAGTCGAAAATTTTATAGGCGCGGGGAAAGAGAAGAGGCGATAGACTGTGACATTATCTTTTAAGTCAGCGGCGTACCTTCCAATATTTGAAAGTTATTTGAAACAGTGTTTTCACTTGAATAAATAATGACTATTGGTTTGATTGCTTTTATTTTTAGTATCGTAAACATGAAATATTTCGAATAGGTGAGAAACAACAAACGGTGAATAATTTTAATTTTCTGTGTATAGAAATATATTTATAAAAATTAATTTACACAAAAGAATAAAGATGGAGTAAATAAAATCGTAAAGTACTTTATATAATATTTTATTTAAACTAAATTATCACACAAGCAATAAAAAGTTTAAAAAATTCTTCCCCAAACATTAACCTGTTCAGGGTATTGAGTATGTTCTTCTTTTATCCAGTGAGTGATAAGTTGAAAAAAATATAGTGAATTATGGTGTATAATTCCAGCTTAATTGTTAGTTGGCAACATTAGTATGTCACATTAGACGTAGCAGTAGACAGAAGAAAGATAAAAATTCAGGAATATGTATTTAAGAAAATATTAATAAACGTAATAAAACCATAAACCGTTGTTTAACAAAACATAAACAAAACCCACATATACAACAATATATAAAACACATTAAACCTTATGAAACGGGTAGGGTTCTAAAATAGAAAAATGCTTTATTGTCACTGAAAATTATACAATGCTTACCAAAAGTAAAAAAAAAACAATAACAATTAAAATTTACTAAAATTACAAAAATCGTCAATATCACAAAATAAAAGATAGTAAAATATACAATTCATTGCAAAATCTAATTGTTGCATAATAAAACCTTACGAAGTAGTTTACGAATAAGTTTTAGTTGCTGCATGTGATACACACACACACATATATATATATATATATATATATATATATATATATATATATATATATATATATATATATATATATATATATATATATATATTGATTGTACCTAAACGTACTGTAATTTCTTAGTTACTAGTTAAGAAACTCTTCCACTGAATAATATGGTCTTTCAGATAGATAGGTTTTTGTCATTTTACGGAACTTTAGGATAGAATTTGTAAGTTGCAGATGGAGATAATTGTATAATTTTTTTGCCGAATATAATATAGATTTCTTTACTAAGTCAGTGGACGGGATCGATAATTACACATCAAAGGTTGAATTTATGGTGGAGTAGTCATGATTGGGTCTTGTTGGAAAAACATGTAGGTATTTACTAATTAAGAAAATAGTTTCTAGAATATACGAAGAGGGAAGAGCAAAAATCCCGTGATTTTTGAAGTAGCTTCTACAAGGTGTTATTCTTCTGAGTCCAAAAAGACACCGTATTGCTCTTTTTTTGTGATTTAAAAATAACATTAGATTGGGCAGCTGTACTAGAACCGCAAAAAGGAAGGCCATATCGAAGATGAGACTCGAACAAAGAAAAATATGTTATTGGAAGATGCTAAATTGATTTCCTTTAAAACAGATCTTATTGCATAGTAGGCCGAGACTAGTTTCTTACTTAACAAATCGAAATAAAGGAACCATTTAGGTTGTTGTTGTCTGTAAAAATACCATGAAATTTTACAGATACTGATTCGGCTATTATTAAGAATCAAGGGTTGAAGAGCTCCTTTATAGGATAATGCTATTGTCTTATTCACGTTAAAAGATAGTAAATCAGAGTCGGACCAGGTTTTTATTTTAAGTTGATCAAAAGTAATAATTGCATGAAGAGTTGCAGAGTTCCTCTAGGTAATACTGGTATCATCAGCAAAAAGAAAAATTTTCCATCGATTTTTAAGTTAGTGATCATTTATAAAGATAACGAAAAGTAGAGCACCCAGTACTGAACCTTGTGGTACTCCACATACAGTGCTTTTGTGACTAAGAGTCAGTATCACTTGTTCTACTTGTTTCCTATTTCTCAAGTAAGATTGAAACCAATTCAAAGAAATACCTCGAATTCCGTAGAAATTTAGTTTTTTTTATCTAAATGTCGTGATTTACACAATCAAAAGATTTGGCATAGTCACAAAAAGCAGTGGCAATGTAAAGATTGTTTAGTGCTTGATAAACCTTATGTAGTAGAGAAAACTTAGCATAACTGGTACATTTATTAGATAAAAAGCTGAACTGACTTCGTGATAAAATGTTGTTTTCAAGAGAAAGGAAATAAGTCGGGCTTTTATAAATCTTTTAATAATTTTGGATAGGACCGGTAGTAAGGCAATAAGTTTATACTTGCAGACATTCGACTTTTTACCACCCTTATGAAGAGGAATAATAAATATTTAGGCACTCTGGAAATATGCCTTTTTCAAAGGAATCGTTAATTAGTGAGACCAGGATTTTCAACACATTTTTTTGGAGATTTAAGAAAAATTTTATGGATAGTCCATCAGTACTACAGGAAGATTTGCTTTTGATACTAATATTTTCCAAGCGTAGCTGAATACAATCTAACTGAATGAATCTTTCGGCTGGGTACAAGAAATTTGGTACAAATTACTTCGGATTATTCCTTCCTTCGACTGACGGTGTATCACCATAACGCGGTGGTTCTTTTTATTGTATTGATTTAATGCAGTTGAAATGTAAGAGAGTAAAAGTTCGTTGTGCTAGTCTCAAGGAAAGTAAAATTTTAGACAACGCGGTGTTGCAGCAAGATTGGATTAATTCCAAACACCGTAATACAATAAAAAATAAAAACCTAAATTAGGTTTTTAGTTTTCGTATACTATCAAAAAAAGGGAAATTTAAAATGGCAATCATAATTATGATAGAAATGGGAAATTATTTTGAAATTGTTTTTGGATGTGGCAATGTTTGATTAAATGTTTTTCTAACATATTTATATGCCCTCATAGAATAAAATGATAACGTGAGTGCAAAACTTCTTAAGGCTGGAGTATATTTTTGTTTCTTTGGACCTTATAACATTTTTTCAAAAATATCGTTAGTGACCCCTGGTAGTGAAGCCTTAAAAATAAAAATATATTATTATTAATTAAAAATAAAGTCAAATAACACTAACCTTCAATGGCCACTCAGAGTTTTCATTAAACAATAGCTTTTTTTTCAATAATGTTAAAAGTGATTCTAACGATGTAATTTTTGATCTCAGTCTTCTTACAGATTGTTGTAAATACTTTATTTTACTTTTTGACTCTTGACAGTATTTTTAACACTCTAAAATGTTTCTTGGCCTTTTCAGATGTTAAAAAATCGCTGCTAGACATGTCTTCAACGGTTTTATTTCTAAAACAGATACTTAATTAGATAATCATATCCTTGTTTTTATAAATTAAACTAAAAACTCACTTTTTATAAATATTACGTAGAACATATGAAAAAGTATTATCACCAAGTAACAACTCTACAGTTTCAGTTTCTGATGCTGTAATGGTGCCATCGAGCAAAAAGATAAAAGAGGGAATCTAATCGTTATGAAAAGGAGACCAAAAAAGTGGCCTCTGATGGCGGACATATCCGAAAATGCAAAGGCGCTAAATTTAAATTTTCCAACACTTATTAACAATAGCTATAAAATATTTTTCAGACGAGAAAGTTTTAATTAAATATTAACGATAATAGTCTAAAAAGTGACACAATTGGTAAAAAACTTCAATATAAATAAAATTTCATGTGACAGTTGGGACAAACAATAACATAACCTAACTAAATTTGACTTCTTAAACAAGGAAAGAGACTGTCTATCCTTGTCTAAAGTGGCCTCTCAAGATGGCACTTCCTGTCTATCAATATGTTTACCCCCACTACCTTTACATTCCCTCTTTTGTCTTATTGCTCGATGAATGGTGCTCGAAGATGCGTTTTCTATATCTATATTTTCCTAGTTGTTTTTATTGTCATTTAAACATCTAGAATATTAAATTTATGTACATTAAAGAAAAATATTAAAATTGGTTTAAGATTGAAATAATCTCATACAAAATTTAGCTAAAACTCACCTCCTTTTTAATAGTTTAGGAGAATTAGATTTTACATTAAAGCCCAAGTCTGTCTCCATATTACATTCTTCAGTATCAATAAAACTTCTAAAATATTTTAATATTAAAATGAAATAAGTAATCAAAATCCACATTTAGATTTTATTTGTAAATTTAATAAACAAATTCGATACAAACCCACCTTTTTGACGGTTCATAAAAAACATCCTTATCAATACTACTGGAAG